TTCACGATCCTCTGCGCGTGACAAGTACTCCCGGCCCAAGAGAGCGGGCCGATTCACCGATCGCAAAGGGACCCGTTGTGTTAAAGGTACCTTTTTGCTGACCGTGTGAATGGTGTACAAATCGTGCTATGTGTATAGCGCGACTTAGCTAGGCTATAGAAGATCTGGTACTTTCCTCGCAATCAATCGGGAGAGCCTGCACTCGACGGAGGGAGCTCGGTTCTTAGAGCGTGCCCACAGGTCCTCCCTCGAAGCCGAGAGATATTTGCGGCCTCGAGCTCCTTCCTAAATGGCTTCGATTGGTTCTCGAAGCTGCATTGGGCGAAAGGAGACGTTCTAGATTTCTGAGAGTAGGCGCTAGCATTTGGACGTCATCACGGTGAGAGACGCAGGTGGGACACAGGCCTGGTACGTCCATGGACGCGTCGGGGTCGCTCCCGTTTACTGAGTGGGAGCCACGCGAGTGTGATGACGTCACGTGGGCTCAAAAGATTCGAACACTAGGTTCATTTTCGCTTCGTGATTTTTTCTTCTTCGGCGAATCTTATCGGCTAGAGCCGGAATCAGGTTGGCTCTGAGACTATAACAAACTTGCCGGAACTCTCTATGCCTTGCGCTTGTTTTCTGACTAATAAACATTGTGTGGAATTTTCAAAAAAAAAAAAATAAGAGAAGAAAAGTTCGCATCGAAGTTGCACGCCGAAAATGAATTGCTTTTCATTATGTTGTACGCGTCATAAATTTTATTAAAAAAACTGAGGTTTTGTTTTTATATTCTTGAGTGTCGCGCGTAACACAAAAACTCCACACTTCCGCTCAGGCCTTGTTTTTTCTCTCGTCCATTTGGGCTTAAATTTATTTTCCCATAGTATAAAAAGCTATAAAAAAAAATTGCAATCGAGAAGGGTAAAAAGAAACTTTGCAATGATCAACGACCTATGGCTATATTTGTACCTCCCATTTAAATGCATTCATTGTAAATAGATTTGTAATTAGATCGCGTCAGCATTTTATATTTTTTTATATTTCTGCGAGTATTTCCCGATCTCAAAAGCGTTACCTCGCCGCATTGTCTCGTTTCGACGATTCCCTTAAATAAGGTTAAATTTCTTCGTCCCCTGTCTCTTACACACAATCTAGACTAGCATTGACAACAGACGGCTGGAGGGCGCTACTTCGCCACGCTGTTTCCATAAACGATAGTAATGCGTTCGCAGCAGCCAGCAGCCACTCACCTTCGCTAACCCCCTCCCTCTCCTTTCTCGTACGTTGCCGGCGTCTGTTTGGAATCCTGACAATTTTGTTATTACCCGCCGCGGTTCTCGTTTCCCTTTACTCTTCGCAGTCTCGGATTGCCTCCGCTCAAACATTGCTGACGCCTTATTAGCCGAGCCGGTCACGAAATGCGCGTAAAGAAATGAAAACAGGAAAGAGCGCCGGTCAGGAATGCTATTCATGAAGCAAGGACGCCACGCTGACATCTTTCCGTACTTGTGCTTGGAAGGGCGAGGATGCCCCGATATATAGGCGGGAATTTCTGAACCAACGTCGCCTCCAACTCATCTCGGCAGGCGTCGAAACAAACAGAACAGGCAGCGCTTAATCAGACGTCGCCAGTTATCCCCGAGCGACGTCATGCGCGGCGCCAAGAATCCTGTCGCACCGGCGTATTTTCTGCTTGTCCCGACATGGCCGAGAAATCCGCATTGGATTTCAAAACAAAATATCTCCGAGTATTTTTATTAGTTTGAATGGATTAACATCGTGCTGTTTTAATGCATAGAAAGATCGGTCGCCACATATGAAGCCAACGAGGAACAACGTAAAAAAAACAACCTGCATTTTGAGCTCTTACGCGCAGTTATGCGTGTTGTAGATAGCGGGAAGATACGCCCGATTCACGGGGGCGGCCTTGTTTGGGTCGAGCGACAGCCACTGGGATTTACCCTAACATGACATTTTGTTTTGGCTCGAAATGCCGCTGATAACGGGTAATTAATAATTCAGCCACATAGCCTTACATTTATCTAGTAAACATTCTTCACTATATTGTTTTCCCGGAATACATGAAATTTTCCCATCAGTGTGGAAAAGAAAAACCCGATTTTCATAAACAAAACTAATCCTCGCCTTGATACAAATGCCAGCGCTTACACTAGTAATAATACCGACAAAGGAACGTGCAAAATAATAGTTTCTTAATAAAGATGTGCAAATGGTTTTACTCAATGGAAATAATAAAAACCACATTTCCTTATATAGGGTGTCCCCACAAAAGCACACATTTTTATTTTGTAAAGAAGCGCATAATTTATTTAAAGAGTGCTGATAGATTTTTGTATGATGCATTTACACTGCGATGAATAGTGGAACACAATATTCGGCAAATGCGCGGCCCCACGATTCTGCTGGCAAACTCGTTCTCTTTTGAGTAACAGTGAATGGCGTCGCAACACGATAGCGGAGTTTGTGTAGCCTCGGTGCCTAACAACGCAGCAGGTAGACGTGTAAATAAATAAAGAAACATTGGACGGTGTGCGTGGGCAAGACATGAAGGTACACCAGGGGCTCTAACCTGGAGACTTTGCGAAAAACTCGGCGAGGGATTCGGCGGCCGTGATTGGCCAGCGCCCAGCTCAAGCGCGGCGCCGGCCAATTACGGCCGCCGAGTTCCTCACCGTCTTTCTCACCAAGTGTCCGGACTAAAGGTCCTACATAACAGCTTCCTACAAGTAGCGAGATTCTTTGAAGCGCCGACTGCGTGACGGTGCAGGTTTTAGGAAGGCACACAGCAGAGGTTTGGATGCGGTCATTTTGTTCCAGCGGAATGTGCTTTGCCATTTGTGTTGGTTGTCGTTACTTGTAAAAGAAGTATCAAGGGACTTTAGTCCGTACTAGAGCCCCAGGATGACGCAACCTGACACGATGCGCGAGTCATGTCGTGCATGACTAAAACAATCCCTGGAGAAGGGGAACAACGGGGATAAAGGACAAACATAAATCTCCAAACACAGCCAGGTGACTGGTGCGCGACCGAAAAAATCCGCCTGGTCCTGGTATCGAACCAGGTACCGAACCAGGTTGGTAGGGCGTTCCACTAGGATTTTTTCGGTCGCGGACAAATCACCTATAGCTCTGTTTGGAGATTTATGTTTTTCCTTTGTCCCCCTTGTTCCCCTCCTCCAGGGATTATATTCGCCATGCGTGACATGGCTCGCGCATTGTGTCAGCTTGCGTCATCCTGGGGCTCTAGTAGGGATTAAAGTCCCTTGATACTTGATACCCATAGCTTTGACTGCATGGTCGAAGAATGTTGTCCGCAGGTATTGCGCGCTGGCTTAGCGTAACCGCAGTTATGTGTGCCCGTATAACGAGGGTATTAGAGTGGCGGTGTTAACCGAAAGTGCTGTAAGTGATCAGTGACGAGGAGGTCATGACATGACATGAACACTGGGATCACAGCCCTGTCAGGGCACGCAGTGTCGTTGGCAAATTGGCGTCCACTCCGCGTGTCACTGAGGTCCCGTGGCCAATAAAGCGCCCTCCTCACTGGATAAACCATTCAAAGGAAGACGAATTGGACGTTTGGGCGTTCGCTTAATACCGTAAACGTTACCGTGACGCGCAACTTTGGCCGGTAGCGTATACCTCAATCGAACGTTGGCGTTCCAGACCCGGCTCCGATAAAGCGATAACATTGAGCACGCGACGCTAACGCTACTCTAGTGCGGAATTCGGAGCATGGCTGGCAATGCGGTGCATGACGAGAATTTTGGTGACTATTGGCGAAGTCCATCGCGTGTTTTCGAGCCTTTCACGGCTTCTTGTTTAGACCGCCAGGCGCTGCGAATATCTGATTCGCTGGAGAAAGAGCTTTCTGTTCTAGCCGGTAGGTGCCATCGATCTGGACAGAGTCGCCAATATGCCTTTGTGGTTTTTAAACATGTGGAATCAGGAATATTAGGAAATCAGTAATCTCGCCGCATTGAACGAATCCTTTCTCCAAATGAGGACAGTTGTACAAATAGGAACGCAATAGACGGCGCTGGTGATTGAGCCGAGGTAAGCCGAGACGGAATGAAGAAGGGAAGGAAGTGCAAACTCGAGTCGATCTGATCTAGCCGCGACTGTAAAAGTTAGCCAGCGTCAGTTTAGCGAGTTCCCTTTCAACGTGGCCCTGCAGCACGGGACGGGAAAGCTCGCAAAGCGGACAAGTTCGACTCCCGCTCCGCCGCTTTTCCAGCTGCGCGGTCCTCGTATCCTACCTCTGTTGAATCCGTGGTACACCGCCAAAGAGCAGCCAGCAGTTCTTGCGTGGAAGGGTCACGCACCCCTTCTTCTGCTCGGAGATAAAGGTTCAATTCGCGGGGTACTAAATTCCCCTTGTCGATGCCTTGCCAGTATTTGGCAGAGACCCCCCTCAGTTGGAGGTGAGGCTTTTTTCGGGGTCCTTCCGACCAGCCTCGAGTCAAGCTCGGTGTTCAGCACGTAACGTGGTTGCGTGGCGGCTGCTACCCGGGTGGAGAGCGGGATGGTTGTGGCAGCTTGGAAAGCGGCAGATGCTGATTGATCAGGGTCCTCCCGAACCATCGGCATGCCGGCCGGGTTGAGACGCCCGGCGAGCACGCCGCTCCGGGGTGGTTGACCCCGTCGGCGGCGTCCGGTCCGCGAAGCCCCGTGCTTTCGGAGCTCCCGTCGGAAACTGCGTGGGCAGCCCGACGGCGGAACCTGGGCTCACTTCCGGGCCGGTCCCGCGTGGCCCGCGGGACGCGCGAGCATCCACGCGAGGAACCGATCGGTCGCCCGTCCGCGCCGCCGCCGCTGGTCAGGTTCAAGGCCGGTGTCAGGCCGGAAGTTTGGGAGAAAAAAACCCGACGACACGCCGCTTGGCCGGGCGAAGCGAGAGGGCAGCGGCTCGCTCAAAGCCGGGGCACGTGCCATCGCGCCCAGGGAATTTCCCCGCCGGGAACCGAGAAGAGGGACGTCCGCCGGCCGCTCCCATTGGCCGACGCAGCGCGGCGACGTCACGAGCCGCGATTCCGGTTGTTTAAAATGAAAGGGAAATGGCGTCCGCCGCTTACGGCTGCTTGGAGCGTGAAAGAGCGTCTGGACGTACCGGTGCCGCAACGGTAGCGATCGACGAGAGCGCCTTGCTCGCTGGATTCGAGCCTTGTGTGTGTGTCCGCCGAACCCCGAAGCCCCCCACGGAGATATCCGACGACCGACCTCACGTGTGCCTCCGGATTGCTAGAGAACGGTGAGTGGCCCCCCGAGAGAGAGCGGGCACGCAGCGTTTCCCGCCGGAAATGTGTCCCCCGCCGCGTGATCTGGTCATCCCGCGATGGGCACCTTACGCCTCAACGAGGGTTGCTTGGAAAAATCATTTGGTCTAGCCTCGTTTTACTACCGGTAACCAGAGGGCAAGAAGCGGGTGTATCTACTTGTTCTAGGCCGTCTCCGAGTACCGTCTCAGACGACATCACAGGAAACGTTTCCCGCGCTGATTTCAGGTTCTCAGAATATCTGACAACCTGCCGCGCGCGCGAACGGTGAAAACCGACGCTGTCTTTTCTCCTAGTTACACGCGCACCCTTAATCGCAGCTAAGCTTAATTATGGTTAGCGGTTACCGCCAACTATACCCTAGGCACGCGGGCACCCTTCACTGCAGTTAAGTCTGACCTCAGCCCCACTTTACTGCGATTAAAGGTGCGACATTTGTGGAACTTGGCGCCAAGTCAAGTGTAGGACTAAGATACGAGATCACTATTGAGGACCAACTGCGACGTTCCGAGGACATTGGGGCGTTTCAAGCGGCATTTGGCCGTCCGTATCTGGCAAGAACTGGCAGGCAAAGGCCGCGGGGCGTGGAAACAGCTGATTGGTCCTTCTTTCCCCACTGTTGGAAGTGACGGTTGCTGATGAAAATCAGTCTATCGGTCGGTGGGTTTCTTTTATGTCAATTCCAGTTTTTACTGAAGACGTTCAACATCCATGCGTGCGTAGGCAGTGTCGCTGTAGGTGCGGCTGATTTACGGTCTTGTTTCCAGTAAAACCCGAGCCGTCATCTCTCACGACAGGAAAAGCGACCCTGAACCCGCATTAAGAACCACTTTTTATGACTGTATTTATTGTAGGCTCAAATTTGCGATAGAGCTACGCTAAGTTCCATAAATAGAGTGTTTTATGCGGTTTCGTTGCGGACACTTACCAGAAGATTACATCTACTTTCGCCGAGTGATCGGTTTCTGAATCCGTTTTGTACTGGTTGCGGGTTGCTTTTTCACATCAGCCCTTTGTTACGCTATGGAGTAGTGCGATGCACGTAATGAATCCACCGTCAGACGAGAAAAGATAATCGGCAGAGAAAGAACGTTTACAGCACCTGACACATAAAGTGAAGAAGTCACTCGGAGCAGGACTGATTGGTCTCTCTTGCCATTTCCCCCACCTCGGCTACATCCCCTTTTATAATCTTTAGTCTTCCTTTGTCTTAATGCGTTGACAGCACCTCGCACCTGAGGAAACCTCCTTGACGCAGGTTCTATTTATCCCCGCGAAGGCTTTCCAACGCGTGTAATCAAAATCATTGGCCGACCAATCTCGATACTGGTACGCTTGGGAGAAGAACGTGTTGGTTTAAGTCATGGATGAAGGAAGAATAAAACAATTAAAACAGGGACAACACAACCACGTCTATCAACTCAAGTTGAAAGATGTCGTTGTGTTGTCCCTGTTTTAATTGTTTTATTCTTTCTTCATCCATGTCTCGATACTGGGCTCGGAAATACTTCCTAAACAAGCCGCTCGCCGTAATGCCGTCTGTCGTGCCAGCCGTTTATGCGCGTCTGGGTATCCAGTCAAAGTATCCCCTCCAGCGTCAGTGAGCGAGAGCTGACTGGATTGGCTGAACGCCAGCTTTAATCCCTTCGAAACCAGAGGTCCCGGATAGCGCATATTTACGACCGCTCGGTGCACACCAAGGGGACGGCGCCGCTGTGTGGGACGCAGGGAAAGGTCAGCGTTCATCCAACGCCGCCGTCAGCAACACGCGGAGACGCTCGCACGCGCCCGGTTCGCTCGTGGCGTCGCTGCGAACAAAGAACCGCCGGCGTTCACGCTGGAAGCAATCTGTTCCGCGCCACGTCCGGACCTTCGGTACGACCGTAGCAAAAACGCGAGTCGAAATGGCTTCGCGCCTGCACGGCGGCTCATTGGCTTTCACGCATCGCGCGATAAATGGTTCGCGTGAGAATAGCGAGGCGGAGGCGCTCCAAGGTTGGCGCAGAGAAGAGCCCCGACTTCGCGAGCAGGACGCCGTCTCGCCGGTGAAGGTTGCTGCAGTCGCCCGCCGTGGGCAGAGCACCTCGACAGCGTGCGGGGCAAGGCGGCCCCCGCGGTTGCGCGTGTTCCCGCGGTGACTAGTCCGTTGCGTCACATTCGGTCGCTTGCGCCACAATGTAGACCACACGCTAACCGGGAACCTTCATAGTAAAGCTCTGTTTTCCGTCAGTCGTGGACACGTCTGCACAAGTGACGCTCGCTCCGAGTCGGATAGTCACTGGATGCCATATCTGAGGTCGTCTTTAGCGGAACATGCTCCTAATTAGCTTCACTTTACCGTCTCCGAACAACAAATACTTTAATTGGAATGTTCTTCGTGGCAGTCGAAACATCAAAGCTATATATCGTCACGTAGAGATGCGGCTTTTACACTTGGCTCGGTTAGTCCAAATAAAGATTTATTAAACAATCGACCTAAAATTAAATATTAGAATACACCCATAAGAAATTACACCTTGGGGGCAAATGCTTCTATTTCTGGCGACTTCCCCTGCCGTCCACCCTGCCGTCCACCTCGACCACACCTTCAGCGGGTGCCCCGACCACAGCCAAACTCGACAAACAAGGATCAACACAAAGGCAGGCGAGCCGATCTCCTCCACAGCCGTAGGGGGTCCCAAGTTTGCGAGTTAGCGGGCGGAAGACTCCACAGCCGACGGGGGTCGGACGTACAGGTTGGCCTCCAGAGGCAGGGAGATGTCCAGGCCCCGGTATCCGGGAGCCAAGTCCTCTGCGGGCCCTTGGCGGCTACTTATATCGGATTCAGCAGCATTCTGGAGCCCTCCAGTCCACCAATCAGAAAGTTTTGGAAGGACCAATCAAGAGGGGTTTTCTTAGCACCAATCAAAAGGCTCGAAGCCCAAAGCAAACATCAGTATGACAAAACCGAGCGCATACACAAGACAAAACACCTCGGACGAAGTTCAAAAGATCCCTAATTAAAAAGAAGACAAAGCATGAATCAAAACATCTCCGACACGGGGTTCTAGGAACTAAGTGTCGCGTTTGTCACGTTCACTCTCGCCCCCATTTGGGGCCCCCCCGACTCCGGTCGAATACATGAGCCCTTCCGTGGAGACGAACGAACTCTCACAGAAGGTAAAAACATACAATGAAGCTGGACAAAGCACGCGCGCGACCACAATTTCACGACAATATTGTGTTCTGAGCATGTGCCGCGAATAACGACCGATCATCATGGTGTCCAGTGAATAGGAGTTTGGTCCAAAAAGCTCGGTCAGCACCGCATCTTTTCCCGAGCGGTTATGGCGCAAACTAAGTTCAAGCCCAACTTTAGATTATACACATCCACTACGAAACAGTAAAATATAACGTCACAAGGAAACTAACTGCGCAGAAGTTTGAAGACATCTGATCCTGGTACTGCTGGTCCCAATCGAGACATTGTGCGCGCATCAGTTTTGATTCCCAGCAGTTAAGACATTGAAGTTCAGTCATGCTAAAACTCAGTAATTAAATTGTTGCCCGAAACTCTGCAGGCAGGCCCATTCCGTGTTCGGCCAACGAAGTTGTTTCACTACCTAATGAATGGTCTATCTTTGTCTGTAGACTGGTCTATACTCGCCGACAGCTTACGAACTGTCAGCGGTGGGGCGTTGTCTTGCTTCGTGATTCCTCCTCCGCCGTTCGATCATCATGGTGCCACAATCTGGTTTGCTACGGAGCGATAATAAGATTCTCGCAACTCAGCGTGCCGTGAGTTTCTGTAGCTATCAGTGATAGTCACCAACAAACTTTGCGATAGGTTAAGTTCGGAGTTGTGTCGCCCCTTGAAAATTCTGTCTGTGCCTAGACATTCGTACGTTCCGTTCGAAGTCTTTTCTGCCTTGAGACAACCTGATGCAAAATGAAGTGACCAGGCATGTTTCTCTTGGTCCTGTTATGTACGCTGTGCTGACCCCTAAACACTTTGACCGTATTTTATTCGAAAACTCACTGCGGTATATTGGAGGAGACGGCAACAGGCTTAAAACAAGAAACGTGAAATTATTCCAAAAATCCCAAGAAGCTGAGGCCTGTGCGATACGAACGGCCTCTTGATTTGTTCTGTTTCAAGGTCGTCGGTGGTTTCGGAGAGTAACTTGTCAGGCGTATATTTACACGAAGCAAACACAGGTTAACGTGCCTTGGCTTCCTATGACGTCCTGGCTTCTGTAGTTCGCTGAAGGGAACGAGACGAGCGTTCCATATTGCGAAGATATAGCTCCGTATAAACACTGCGGTCAACCGTAAAATTGTTTCCGACCTTCACTTCGACGGAAAGAGCACTGCAGAGGTAAGCAATGGAATCCAACTGAAAGCTGACTTGGGTCCCTTTTTCATTTGGAAACGTTGCGAGTGAAATGATCGTGTGGCGCTGTCGGAATGTATCCAATATAGAAATAAGATGGAGGACCCCGAAGGATCTCGCGTGCCTTTTCTTGCCCAGTGAACATTGATTGCTTCTCACCTTCAATTTGCCCGGTTCGGCGATTGCGCTCATTAATCGCGTGACCTGATTCTGTGATTAACGCCGAGCGCCGTCTTCGAAGGCTGCGGGCGACCGGTAATTGGCAGCGTGCGGTTGGAAGCGCACTAAGTCCGGCAAAAGCCCGATTGCGATATCAGCCGCCATCGTAACGGAACGGGGGCTTGTTTGGGGTCGCTTTTGGCGCTCCCAAGTTTCAAGGGTGTTCCTGCGAGACCTTCCGAGCGAGCCCCACGCCGTCGCGACGCCCGCACGGCCTCCCACTGCCGCTCGTATCTGCGATATCGGCTGCCAAGTTTTGCAACGGATTACGGCAGTCTCTGGCGGGGAGCAGTGCACTGCCACAAGGCGGTGGTCGAAGCGGCGCCAAGTGACGTCACTAGCTATAGCTCGTTCGCACCATCCGCCACGACGGTCTCTTTGACG